CGTACTTGTTTGACTACGGAAAAAAAAAAAAAAAAAAAAAAAAAAAAAAAAAAAACTGAATTTGTATAAACTAATTTTATAATATAATAATAATAGTTATTATTAAAATAATAAACAATATTACTTATATTTTACTATTTGTATTAACAAAAGTTATACTTACAAGTTTTAAAGTATTAAAAAATCAATCAATATAAGTTTAATTTAAAGTTTTTTTAAAGAACAATTTTTATTTTTATAAAGTTTATAATATATTTAATTTAGTTTTAATCTTAATAACATTTGTTTTATGTTTTATTTTTATAAAGTTTATAATATATTTAATTTAGTTTTAGTCTTAATAACATTTGTTTTATGTTTTATTTTATTTTTTTTTTTATACTTTATTAAGTTAATAAGTATAATTATTACTTAATTATATTTAATATATTAATATTAATTTGAAAATTTTTTTGATATTAGTTAAATATTAATTGTATAGGCAAGCTAGTATTTAACTTATTGTATACTTTATATTTAAAAAATATTGTTTCTTTTACAATTTATACTTTATTATATACAATATCAAATAAAAAAATTATATTTTATTTATTGAAAAACCTCTTTCTCAAAAAAAAATCAAAATAATAAAATTGAATATATTAATTAATAATTTTCAATATTTCTTTTTTAAATTAATATAATAAGTTAAAATATAATATCAATATATTAATTCTTTCTTTAAACTATTTTTTGATTAATTATTCAATTTAAATATTACAAAAAAAAAAGAATTATTTTGACAATTAATAAATATTATTTATAATTAAAAGTTGTTAACATAGAATAAAAGCTTGTATAATTTAAATTTGTTTTGTAAAAACTTGATTAAAGATTTTCTTCACACTGTATTAATATACTTATTTGATAAAATATTTTATTTGAATTATAATGTACAATATTTTTTTAATAATAATGCAGCCAATCCAGGAGATCCGCTCTCATTATATATAAGTGACAAATTATATGCTGTTTCCTTTTTAAGATCTGTTTGATCATCTTCTTCCTATTGTGTTTTGTTAAAAAATGTCAACTGTGTTTAACTACAAAAAATTTTTAAAAAAATAAATCAAATACCTCTTCTGTTTTCCGTTTAAGAACTTGCAATAAAGAAGGTAATTTAAGAGCATTTTCATAATGGGGTATTGCCAAATGAGTTAAGCCTATAAAAAAAATACGAACAATTAAATAATATAATATAGAAAACTTTGACCATTTAAACTAACCTATATGATGAAAAGCTCTGCCAAGATTATATTCAGCTTCTTGATTATGTGCTCTTATTTCGGCATAATTATATAAGAATGTAAATCCCTAATAAATTAGATAAATATTATTATCATTTATAATTACTTTTAAAAATAAAAAATATATTTTTACCTGAACAATTTGTAAATGCCTGTTATCCGTCTGCCGTTGCATGGCTCGATGTAGATAAGATAGCCCTATCGCTAAACTGATCACGGGATCCTCTGGTTTGCTGGCATATGCACGGGCATAATACCCTTAAAATTTTGTTTATTCAATGCTCTATAATTACATTATATGAATTTGAAGTAAACAATCTTTCTACGCTTACCAATTGCACCCATGTAGCTTCTAGCACATGCTAGTATATGACCGTAAAGAGCCAATAAAGCATCATTTTTCTTATTTGGGACTTCGCACTTTTTACCACCTGGCCTTAGATCATATCCGCCAGTGTCCATTAATTTAACTTGACGAAGAAAATACTTTTGAGAATTGGCTGCTGCATAACATGATAAAGCGTTGGAGCCACTAATTTTGGCGCATGTTATAAATAAATATAAATGCCAATTACGATGTATAATATAATTATCTAATTGTGAAACCTACCTAGACATCCCGGCATTATATAAATTATAGACTTTATTATTAAACGACTTGTTGTTACACAGCCATCGTGAACTTTCACATACCACAAGATAGTTTCTGGTGTGTAAACCCCATGCTATATTGTAAGAATTATGAGTACCAATAAGGTCTCTTGGATACCAGTAATTTGACACGTTAGTGCTTTCCTGACTTACCTAATAAAAGCAATTTGAAACCCGTTTTTTGACGTTCGTTATGATAAAAAACGTTTGCTCTAGAAACAACTCTAAGTACATCGAAGGCTTCTTGTTCGAATCCATTTTTCGTTGCCATAAATACATACTAGAAAGTTTATAAAAGCGGGATCAATTTATGCAATGATCTCAGAAAACAACGTATAAACAAGTCAAAGTCATAATCTAACCTGGATAAAGAATTCGTACCACTGGTCGAATTTTAATCCTTGAAACTCAACCATTCTTTTGCGTATTTCAGCTTCTATTTCTCCAATTTCCCCATCTACAGTACATTAATCATATGATTAATTAATAAATGCGAATGTATTTTGACAGATATATTCGAAAAATCTCACCAATTTGCCATTGCAACCTTTTGGCCATAGTTGTCGCTTGTTCTTCAAGAGCTGCATCATCACCATCATCTGCTATCTCAGACTTTAAAGCCACCTGCCGACGCCAACATCTTCTTCGGTCGAAACCTTTATAGGGTACCATCTGTAAGTTATAAATTAGCATGAACAAAGATGTGATAGGCCAATACTTTCACACTGGTCATTTATGGTTTTTACCTTATCTCGAGGATAAAATGGCCTATGATTTTTAAATTCTAAAAATATAATTCTTGCAGCTTCTAAAAATTCCTGAGCTGACTGTTGATCTCCATCCCTATATCTAGAATATAGAAGTTCAAGCCTATGATATTGAATTTGCATTTCCTTTTCCTTTTCAGCTATCTTTCTTTTGCGCTCTTCTTGAGCTCTTGCGTAAGCACTAGCCTTGGAAGACTCGGACATCTGATTTATTAAAGAACTATCATAGTCTAATGCCATTGTTGTAGGATGTTCAGAATAATCCTTCGCATACGAATTCATTGAAGGAGAGATTTCATGGGTCGATTTCGACTCATTAATTGCTCGTTGTTTTTTCCGAATCTCAAGGACTCCAAGCAAAACCGTAAATATTAGTTATGTAACATTACATGTGCCGAGGACAGCACTACTAAAGTTAATAGTCACCTGAATTCACCATTTCCAAAGCCTTAGAATTTTCACCCAAAGCCTCATACGTTTCAGCAAGTGCCATTTTGGCATCCAGATCATCCGGCATTTCCTCTACAGCTAGTATTTAAAACCTTTACATCAATTTATTTAAAATAAATAAATGGATTTATGAAACATTAATTATTTATCAAAACCTATGTTAAAAAATTCGATGGCGCTTTCTAGATTTCCAAGTTCCCGATGACAGACCCCCATTCGTAGCCATGCATTTGGGCTATCCGTCTATTTATTGAATGCCAGTCAAAAATTGATAATAGATCTATGATATTTAATATTGTATCGTAACCCTATAAACACGATACCGATTCATTTGATATAATGATTTCATATATTGCCAATGCATCTTCAAATAGTCCTTTTTCAGCATAAGTTTCCGCAACCTCGTAGTACAAGTCAACGTAGCTCCCAACGTCAAAAAATTCAAGATATGTGAAATGCAACTATTTAGCAGAAAACAAGATAATTAGTTCTCTCTAATTCGAATTTAAAAAATTAGTAGAAAGTAAGACTACTTACTTTTCCTTCTTCAAGTTGTTCAAGTTCAATTCTACATTGACCAAGTTTAACTCTCAGTTCCAAGGATAACGGAGCATTGGTACCGCCAGTGTTCACAACACCATTTAGCCGGGCAGATAATATGGAATTATCTCTTCTATTCAAATTTTCGTCTTCATCATATTCTCTATCATCGGCAACTGTATCCCACCAAATTTCATTTTCTCTTCCTTGTAACCATCTAACGCCCCGTTTGATAAAATAAATGGCGCTATTAAAATCATTTGCAAGCATATATAATTCAGCCATAATATTGATTTCAGAGTATCCAAATCCTCCTTCAGAAACAGGATCTTCTGATAACGGTCTACTCCTATAATATCTAAATGCATCGAGATAGAGTTCAATGGCTTGAGGAATTTCATTTATTTGAACTTGAATTCTTGTAATTTCTCTCACTATATTCATATCGTATGGCATTTCTTGTAATAACCCTTTAAATCCGTCCAAAGCCTGAAAAGAGTTTCAAACAATTACATAGTGTTTGATAAAAAGTTAACATAAAAATATACTTACTTTTTTGTATTCTCCTATCTCTCCATAAAGAATACTTCTATCCCAAATAGCGTCATCATCATTAGGATCACATCTAATTGCCTTAGAAAATCAATAAATAGCTTGATGGATTGCATTTTG